AACACATCTTGCATACAAAATGAATAGCCACAATTTAATTATTTACACCCTTTTTAATGGTCATTCATCATATATTCATAAAAATCATCTAGCACCCCCGAATTACCGCTCGTAAGTTCAGTCTTACTCATTTCAAATATTACAGCCACAAATATATTGTCAAGTAAACTGTATTTACATTGCCTACCTTCTGTCTGGCCATGGATAGTTCTTCTTCCCAACCCTGCGTCTCCAATTTTGACTTCGCTTCTCTTTTGTACTTGTCTTCGATGCCCCTTTTCTTTTAACTTGAATGGGATCTTCAAGCATCTCGGTTTGAGAACTCTTGGCCCCCTCTGCAGTTTGTTTTCTTTTCTAACTGCGGTTACCACCACCCAAACAGTTCAGCTTCGTATCTAATGCTTTCAAAGGCCAGGATAGAAGTATAGTACCTTCCTTGGACATCACCATATTATCAATTAAGTCTGAAGCATTTTTTTATTTTTTTTTAAGAAAACTAAGCTTTTTTTGGACATGATTGCATTGTCGGCATGTTTGCTTACTTATATCCCTTCCGTGTCGAAGAAAAATGCTACATTTGGCGGTTTACAGCCACCTTTTCAATATGCAACGTTTTGGCACCAGCTCTATTTGTTTCATTCTCAAATATGCCAATATGTGTCAACAAGGAAGTCCCCGAAACTCCATCTCTTTCCAGCTACATTTAGCATAACCTAAGGTCATATCAATCCCCAACCTCTTCATCTTTGTCACCCCCGCAGTTTTTCAAGTACTTTGTACACTGCCTTATTCTTATGCCCAGACTGCTCCCTCAATAAACCGTCACCCAGTCGCCGCCCCAATTACTACGACTGAAATCGCTCAATTCGTCTTCTACTTATTCGAGAGAGGGATATAAATAGAGAGAGTGACTACAACAGCCGAAGCAGCCTCAGTCATCCACCCCCGTTTAGGGATCGCAGGCACTCCCCGCCGCGGAGGTCTCTGCCACCTCTGTTCAAGCGATCTAGAAGGGAAGATTGAGGGTATGATGGTAGCAGATGGAGTCCTAAAAGAGGATTTGGACTTGGGGATAGGAGGTGAATTGAGTTTTGTTTGTGAGTTTGTACTTCTATTTTCTATTTTTTTTTTCTAAGAGAATATGCCATCATCACCTCAATCTAGATCCGATCTGATCATCTCTCTCTCATCTATTCCGACTGTTTTTTTGCAAGCAGGAATCTTTTTCTAGCTCGGATTCTAGACTGGTTTTTGCTTAGATTTTGGGTTGATTCTCACTCAAATTCTAGGATTCGATCAAATCGGCAAATTTTCAAAAATGGTTTCTCAAAAAGATTGAATCTTTTTCTTATTTGTGTATTTGGAGGATTTGGAAAGAGAATAGGGACGAATGTTGGTGCAGTGGTGGTGGTCGATGTTGAGCGGGAATGGGCGGGAAGGCTGCGGTCCTACCCTGATGCGAGGGGGTGAACGAGTGTGAGACATTCTAGTTTAAGCATTAAGGACAAGGCCTGTTATTTTGTAAAACTGATGAGGGTATTATTGGACTTTAGAAAGTTTCATTAAAGATGCACTATAGCTCCGCGTGCTTTGAAAAAAAGCCAGTTTTCCAAAGCAGCATTTAGTTGGTTCGGCTGTTCTAATGATTTCAGTTGTCAATCACCACAGCTTCCAAAATAATCCTTTTTTTTTTAATTTACCAAACACCTTCAACATAAAAACTTAAAAAATAAGCAGCTTTTTTTCTAAGCACCAAATTGCCAAACCAGGGCTTACTTTCGCGTGACATTATAGTCATTTTAGTTAAATCCCGCATGACATTATAGTCATTTTAGTTCACTTTGTTTAGACCTGGCATTTCTGTCGTTTTTTCTGTGTTCATATAGTTTTCATAACATACCTGATAGTTTAACGAATCGTGTCGTGTAACACTCCATTAAAGTAAATGGTAATATGACCTGACTTAAAATTGACCCACTAATATTATCAAGTTATATGACCCGATCTGTTACCCGTTAAATAAGCTATATTTTAAATCAATAAATAATGAAAATAAAAAAACATAATTTAATCCAAAATAGAAATGGAAAACGTAATACAAAATTAGCATATGCATACCACATGGTCACATAATATTACTTCAAAACATAAAAAAAAAAAAAAAATATTTGTCTTTCAATTATAACATACCCCAAAATAAGAGTCTGAAGAAAAAAAAAACATTAGTAAATTACTACATAATACCAAATATTCAAGAATACACAAAATAAAGGGAGTTGCATTTCAAGGTTGAGGAACCTTTCACGTTTTTCACAATAAAACCCTTCAAATTACTTTTTTTTTTAATGTGTTTGGTATTTTTAAATTACTTGATATTTTTATTTTTAATATATTTTATAATGTTTTAAATGTCACTATTTGTGTGACATCCCATATCGCCCAGGGGAGTGATCCTTAAATGTATATTCCCATCCCTACCTAGCACGAGGCCTTTTGGGAGCTCACTGGCTTCGGGTTCCATGGGAACTTCGAAGTTAAGCTAGTAACGCGCGAGAGCATTCCCAGGATGGGTGACCCATCGGGAAGTTCTCGTGTGAGTTCCCAGAAACAAAACCGTGAGGGCGTAGTCGGGGCCCAAAGCGGACAATATCGTGCTACGGTGGTGGAGTGGGCTCGGGAAGTGGTCCCCCCCGGGCCGGGATGTGACAATTTGGTATCAGAGCCTAACCCTGGTCGTGGTGTGCCGACGAGGACGTCGGGCCCCTAAGGGGGGTGGATTGTGACATCCCACATCGCCCAGGGGAGTGATCCTTAAATGTATATTCCCATCCCTACCTAGCACGAGGCTTTTTGGGAGCTCACTGGCTTCGGGTTCCATGGGAACTTCGAAGTTAAGCGAGTAACGCGCGAGAGCATTCCCAGGATGGGTGACCTATCGGGAAGTTCTCGTGTGAGTTCCCAGAAACAAAACCGTGAGGGCGTAGTCGGGGCCCAAAGCGGACAATATTGTGCTACGGTGGTGGAGTGGGCCCGGGAAGTGGTCCCCCCCGGGCGGGGATGTGACAATTTGTCTATAGTATACTAAATAAATAAATAAAATTTAATTTTTTTAAAATTTATATAGAATAATAATACAAACATACAAATTTAATATACAATATATACATATACACTATGGCTGTTGTATTTTATAGTAATATTTTTAGTAGTTTAAAAATTAAAATCATCAAAATAATTTTTTTCTTAATGTGTAGAAACGGGTTACCTGCAATCACATTCGTGTAAACTTATTAAGGATGCATGATTAATGGGCTTTTATTCTGTGACCCAATAATGAGCCAGTTAGATATCATGTTGATTCAAAAATTGTTATTTTCATGTCGTTTGCGTGCCGTATTAACGGACCTATAAAAAATTGCCATGTCTAATTTTGTTTATAATTTCATAAATCTTTGGGGGAAAATAGTTACCAACGAAAACGCCAAACGAGTTGTAATTAAATGCAGGTGATGAGTTCCCCATGACACTGCAACTCCCATGTGTGGTCCCCCCAGCTCTAAGCACCTGAAAAACCACACCGCTCTCACGCAGAAGCCACGTGACAGACTTTGATATGTCTAGCAACTTTGGACACGTGGCAGCACCTTATAACCGATACCTCTATCCAATCGTACGGAAAATTAATATGTGTCTCTGCCCCCGTATGGACAACGCCTTTTTTAAATGAGGCATTTTTTACGGTGCCTATCCGGTGCTCCAAAATTTACCTGCAACTTCAGGTTACAGCGATTGTTTGGATATAACTAACAACGTGGCAACCGACAGGATTGCTTGCTGCTTTTTCTCTCTATAGCTCATCATTGCCCATCCGTCAGTCACTCCACTCACGTGTGACCAAAAGGCTCAATGGCATCGCGTTTCTGTGCACCCCAACAAAGGTATTTAATTTTAAAGGGCTTTTGGATCTAGGTCCAAAAAGTATTTTGAATTGAGTCCAGTTATTCAATTACATATTTTGATATCAATTTTGCTCCTTTAGATAAAAATATTTAAATTATTTAATTTTGTATCATTTATTCAGTTTTTAAATTTTGAATATTTAAATACCGAAACTAAAATACTATCTAGTGACTAACTACTATTTATGAAGAAAACAAAACCGAAATAATCTAGTAACTACCTACTTATTGTATAGAAAGAAAAATGCTTTATACCTACAAAGCAAATATAATGTACCTGCAAAACAAAAATAAACTACCTATTGCATTGGAAAAAAAATGCTAGTAACCTACATGGCGGAACATAGAAATATAAATATGATATAATATACCTCCATTAAAGGAACGAGTTTGGAGGGAAGAACACAAAAATATCACCCATGAAAAGAAGAGACAAAAAAGAGGAGGATTGATAGAGAGAATTGTTTGGAAGAAGGAAAAAAGGTGGGATGAAACGGACTGGGGGTTGAGGTGATTATATGGTTATAACTTATTCTACAATTAAGGGATTAGTTAAACGACAAATAATCCCATAATTAAAAAATTTTGTGTATTTATAACAATTCGTAAGTCTAAGGGGTAAATATGGTACAAACTACAAATAAGCATACGTAGAATCTTAATTATTGGACCTATTTCAATGAAGTGAACTAATTCTACTAATGGCTCATAAAATTGGATCTATATCAAGTTATCCCTTAATTTTAGTCCTATTATTTTTTTTAAGAAGGTGCTATCTACATATTTTTATTTATTTATTTATTTTTAAGTCTCACAGATTTATTTTTTAATTTTGAACTTTTGATATTTTATAATTCAACGATTCAATAGTTGTAAATTAAAAAAATTTGTGGGAATAGCACATCTTTATCTTTTAATCATTTTAGCATTGGGTGAAGAAATAGTAAGTGGGTCACATGTATAGGTTGGGCAAGTATTCCCTTGTTTTTAACTTTTTGGGGAGGTGTACATTAATTACCAAAAAAAGAAAGGAGGAAGAGTAGATTGGGTTCAAAACTTATAACCTCCTTTCCCTTTTCATTTTATTCCAGGCTTTTTATATTTCCAGAAATATTCCTCTATTATACATTCATAGGGTTCTCGTTAAAGGCTTTGGACCTAAAAAGGAAAAGAAAAAAGTAGAACAAATCAATCAATCTTAATTTTCTTATTGTATGGGTACTTTGTATCTTTAAATCTTTATTCATCTTCTTCCTCCTCATAATTTGTTTCTAGGGTTTCTTGTCTGCCCCCTTTCCATATTTAGAAACCCTTTTTCTTGTTGTTGCTTGAGATTTTCCAGGAAATTGACTTCCGGTTTGTCCCGGAATTCGATTAAGGTGAGAAAATGGTGAGGGGGAAGACGCAGATGAAGCGCATAGAAGATGCAGCGAGCAGGCAAGTGACCTTTTCGAAGAGAAGAAATGGGTTGATGAAGAAAGCCTTTGAGCTTTCAGTTCTGTGTGATGCAGAAGTTGCACTTGTTGTCTTCTCCGCAAGAGGGAAGCTCTACGAGTTTTCCAGCTCTAGGTACGTTTATCTTTTAGAACAAAACCATAATATTTTTGTTTTATTTTGTTTCTAAATTAGGCATTTTAAGATGGTTTTATAGTTAATTTAATTTCAGATTTTGATTTTAATCAGTGCAGAAAGCTGCTTCTTGTGTAGTACGTGTAGCAAGATAGATAGATAGGGAAAAGTCTATACCAAATATATTGGAAAAGTCTAGACCAAACATATCTCAGGCTTTATGTGTGTGTGTGTGTAATTACTGTTTATAGACCAAATTCATAAAATTAAGCTTCTTTAATTTCCCCTCTTTTCTGATTCAAAAATATTTTTGTGGTAATTTTGTTCATCGGTTTGGGTTGAAAGTATTCTGGGTTTTAATTGGGTTTCCTTTTCTCTCTCCTGTTATAGACCTTTCACTCACCACATTTGTTTCAAGAAATATTTGAACAAGAAAAAGGAAATCTTTGAGATGTGTAGTTTCTGATATATGTATTATTTAGTAAATATATTCACATGATTTAGAACTGATCATAAGATGAAGATTTTATTAAATAAATGGAAGTTTTATAGTTAAATTTGTCATAAGATTTGACAATATTATATTTTATTTGTTAATTACTTATTGTTTATAGGATCTTTGTTTTTTCTGTGGATATTTACTGAATCTAAATCAGTGACATGTAATTAACCCTAACAAATAAAACAAATATACTTGATTTATATAACTTTAGGTGAAATAACTGACAAATAAACTTGGAATTTTGGTCTATCAGAGGGACCTCTGAGTAATATATAGCTTTAGTTCCTGGCCTCTTCATTCTATATATTGATTAGTACTTAAAAATGAAGGGGTCGCTGTTCCTAGTATCTATTACTGGAGGATTTTGTTATTATGCAACTAGGTTTTAAGTTTTTGTTTTAGTGAGGACGTCGTCTACTAAGTACTTGTAATGCTTTCAAAAATTCACTACATATTAATGACGATTGACACACATAATAAATTATTAACGATACGAGAGAATCTCTCCTCCACTATATAAGGACTGTACGCTTGAGTTAAATGAATAATCTTGTTTGAAGTATAAGATGTGATTGATTTCTGACCAACATTTATGCTCAATCAAATTAAAAGATTAGTAAATGCTTGCATCTTCTTAATCTTGAGAAGTGGATATGGATATACCTACAGTACCGTTGCTAAGAGAATCATATTTGTGATTGAGTAATAATGGACAAACTATTACAAATGTGTTCAAACAAATTTTCAAACTTTAATATTAGCCTATAGGTATAGATGTACCAAAAATTAAAATTGACTAGAATGTGTTCAAACAAAAAATTGTAAAAAAACACTATTTACTATCTTCATTTTATCATAGTTGTATGCTTAATTAGGATAAGAGAATTAAGATCATTATTATTACCATTATTGAAATATGGATAAGGCCGATGCAGGGTTAGGGAGGGTCGAACTTAAGGCCTTTTGTACATGGGTGAATACTCTTAAATACTTGAGCTACAAGCCCTGTGCATGCATGACAATAAATGTTGTTAACGATGTGTACTAAGAAGCTTACAAGAGTACGATATTTTTTGTTATTTTCATCAAAAAAAAAAAAAAGAAAATTGTATGTTTAGGTTTTCAAACATTATATATGGGAGACTTTGAATGCAATCTCTAGTTATGAATATTCTTTGATTGAAACCTTGTTGCTTTTCAATTTTTGATCGAAGTCCCTGAAATTAATGTGATGATTTCTTTCTATGTATGTTACTATATTTTTTAAATTGAAAAATGAAATTTATAGTTGTTTATATTAATGAGATTAAAAATATTAAAATATAAATATACTATTGTGTGCGTGTGTGTATATAAATATGGGTACATTCATCAAAATTAACCAAAAAATTATTGTACCAAAACATGGGTACATTCTTCAAAATCACAAAAAAGAAAAAAAGAAAAAAAAAAAGAAAAGATATTAGGCTTAATAACATCAGTAAATTTCTTCGATTAAACATGACATGGATACATTCTCAAATCAAAGCAAAAAGAATTTAACCATATAAGTTTAAAAATGGATTAGAAAAAAATTGAATAGATTTTATATAAAAATATAACAAATTGGTATATTTAAAAAATGAGTACATTTTAAGATTAAAAATTTGAAAAAATTACATGAATGGTTACATATAAGATTGAAAAATTGAAACCATTTTTTGAAAAAAGCTAATGGGTACCAACTTATTCTAATTTATTTATTTTTGAAAATGTTTTGAATTGAAAATTAGTTAGACGTTTAATAAAGGTGTGAGTATTAAAATTCTAAATTAATTGTTAAATTTTATTTAAAAGAATTATGTAACTGACGTGTAAATTCATTATTACATTAATGCTAGAGACTTAGATCAAAATCTAAAAACTAATAATGTTTTAGTTAATGAACATTAGTAACTAGGGACCGGATACTAATTTTTCCATTATATATACATATGTGGAATAATAGTACGCTAAAGCTTGGTCTCCACACACAACTAGTTTGATTACTTGAGAGTGATAATCCAAAATAATATAAATGGTAAACAATTAATTGGGAAAATTTGACAGTTCCATTCAATTTTAATTTTCGAGTACATCTTATTATATCTATCTAAGAACCCCCTCATTTTCAAAAGGTTTTACCTAACTCTCTTAAATCAACTCTGTCTCAATTTTTCCCATATCGATCGTCAAAATCCATTAGTAAAATAGTTAAAATTGTTCCCCTAGCACAAATGACACATCTCAGCTACAATGGGACCTATTTGTGCCACATAAACAATTTTATCGGACCTGTTAATAGATTTTAACGTTAGGGGACATAATGAGACACATTTTGTGTTTCAGGAGATTAAGACTTGAGTTGAGTTTTAGGGAGTGTTGCCTTATATAAGCCTTTTCTAAACACATTCCAAACAGGTTGTTACAACTCAGTCACCAACTATAAAGTGAATCTCCTCTTAGAAGGTGGCACTTGTAAGGATCTGGATATAAGAACGATAAATTGGTTGAGTTTATAGTACATCTCCTTTCAGAGAGATTTAGAGTTTTTTTTCTTCCTTTAATTTAGCATGGCCTTCAACTTTATCTAACATTTAATTTCTTAAATCATTGTAAACGTGGTTTAACCTTGTTAAAAAACCATCTGCATAACTTCACTACTAGCACTCCTGACCTGACTTGCCTTTGACTCAATCACATAAATATAATAGGTCATCTCTTTCCATACTCGATATATCTCAATCTATGTTGAGATTATCAATTCCACATTGGAGAAGGAACACACTTTGCATGTGCTTATAACTAATTGAGCTACTCTCATATTGCCAATTAATTTTATAGTGGAACCTTAACTTTCTTCATGGTATCATAGTAAGTTGTCCTACGTCATCCAATTTGTATTGTCCATGTGTTAGGCTTGAAAATTTGCCAAACATAAAGTGGCTTGATGAGAGTATTAATCCCACATCAGGGAAAGAAGGGACATTGCCTATGCTTATAAGTAATTGAGCTACTCCATATTACTAATTCATTTTATGGTGGAACCTCAACTTTCTTCAATGTATAATTATTTACACGTAGTACTTAGTCATCTTATTAGCTTTTAATCTCAAGCTCCAATCACCACGTCATGGCTTGTCACGAATACACATAAATCTATCGTCCACACCCCCCACCCCGCCCCCCCCCCTCCCACCCCTCTTCTTTAAACTTTTATCTGGGTTTATAGTTGCCTATAATTTGAATCTGTATGGATAATATGGAAAATAAATCTTAGCACAGTTGGTGGTATTCTTATCTCTTGTTGTGCTTTCAGTATCAACAACACACTAGACCGTTACCAAATGAGAGTGAAGGATGCAGGCCATCTTACCATTAAAGCATTTGAAGAAGATATGGAGGTATCTGCCACTGCACACTGGTTCTATCTATCCTTTCATTCAATTAAAATATAAATTATTCCAGCTGCTATATAATTGGTTTTTTCCCCTTTTTGGAGAACTATTGGTGTATAAAACCTTAAAATTCGACGATTCAAATCATTAAAGTAAAAAACGCAGTTGAGTCCGCGAGAGAAATAACTATCCTGAAAGGGCTAATTATTTCATATCTTCTTTTATCAAAAGCAATTCCTTTTAAGACCTGCATGCAGGATAAACGTTACTAAATTTCTGGCAATTTTTGGACTGCATGCAGCATGAGAAGGATGACACTCAAACCTTGGCAAAAAAGATCGAGTGTATTGAAGCTTCTAAACGGTTTAACTCAATGCTCAACTGGAAATTTGTATTTTAAGCTTGTTTTAGTGTTGTACTGCAATCAGATTTTCATTTTCGTCGGAGATTGTTGATAAATGCTATACGTATGGTGTAGGAAGCTGTTAGGTAATGATTTGGAATCATGTTCCATGGAGGAACTACATCAGATAGAGAATCAACTGGAGCGAAGCTTAACAATAATTAGGGCCAAAAGGGTACAGATTAATTTATAGGAGTTCTATATATATGCATTCTTTTTCCTTCTCTTGGTCTGCTTATACAGGATTTCTTTATATTTTGCATTAATAAATAGGTCATCAATTCAGTGGACTTGATATAACAATCATTCCGGATGGCAGAGAAAAGATAATTAATTAGTAGAGCTATATATATGCATTCTTTTTCCTTCTCTTGGTCTGCTTATACAGGATTTCTTTATATTTTGCATTAATAAATAGGTCATCAATTCAGTGGACTTGATATAACAATCATTCCGGATAGCAGAGAAAAGATAATTAATTAGTAGAAGTTCAAAATGTTAAAGGTTTAAGTTATACATATATTATGTTTGGCAAAAAAGTTATACATATATTATGTGTGTATTATGTATTTGAAGTGTAAATCTCACACCATTGAATTAAGAAACATACGTATCGTATAAACAGTTGAGCCACTTCTATTATTGTCAATTGGTTTTAGGGTGTAACCTTAACTTCTTTCAACCTGTGTTGCCTACATGTTAAGATTAAAATGCCTCTTACGTGGCGTCAGGGTGTATGCTGAGAATGAACCCCACATCGAAAATTAAGGGAGAATTGAGTCAATCCCCAATATTGCCAATTGAATTTAGACTGAAACATGAACTTTCCCTTTATAGGATATAATTTGAATCATTACTATAAGCTACTAACATGTAATGCACTTTGTTTTTCCTTTATCAGAGTCAGTTACTGACGGAGCAGATTGATAAGCTGAAGGAAGAGGTAATTACCAGTAGAAGTTTCCGTTACATATTATTATTCGCGTGCATATGCCTCTATTTGTCTGAAAATGTTGATATGCCGTGTTCTTAAACTTCCCATGATCAGGAGAAAAAGCTATTGCAACAAAATACAAGGCTGTGGGAAATGGTAATGCTTCAGATTCTCTCATAAACGTTGAACATCAACATTGTATACACATCCTAGTTAATGCAATTCTTGGCCACTTTCAACTAGGGTTCATGATCTCCAATATCTACAAGTGAATCCATTGGATATGCATAAAGGCTACTGTTATCATGGTTAAGTAATGTTGTCGAATTGTAAATATATAAACATCTTATATTGCCATGTATATAGCATCATAAATTGATTAGAAAGTTAATTGTCGACTTTGAATCTAGGGTTCATGATCTCCAATATGTACAAGTGAATCAATTGGACAGGCATAAAGGCTTCTGTTATTATGGTTAAGTTATGTCGTTGAACTGTAAATATGATAATATAAACATCTTATATATATTGCCACATATGTAGCATCATAAATTGACTAGAAAGTTAATTGTTGAGTTTGGATAAGATTGAGTATCTTTATTGGAACTTGACATTAGATATATAGGTGTTAATTTTGGTAACTATATTATTCTTGGTACATTTTTATAGGTATAATAAGCCAAATCAAAATCAGAATCAAAACCTAATCTAAATATACTTGGGAATAGTCAAACTACCATTTTATGAAAGGATAAAAATTTCAAATATATACTTAATTGTTTATGTATGACTATTAATTGATTCAGTGTAGCATGCAGCCACTTCGTGCTTCAAGAACAAGCAAGCATGGAGATGATCATGGAGTATTCCTGCCCCAGACACCAAATATGGATGTCGAGACGGATTTGTTCATCGGGCCACCTAAAAGACGGCGAAGTGGCCAAAATCCGTAGGATGACGATGTTGATGATGATGATCTCAAATTCAACATTCTTGATAATAAAAGTTTACACCTTGAAAAATCTGCAACAGCAGTTCTACAAAGCTTCATGATGGCCGTACCGTGATTTTTCGTGTGCACCCAAAATAATTTTGAAGTAAAGCAGTTAAACGTATAGTATATGAATAATTGTACGAAAATTTCACTTTTAATGTAATTTAATAATTTTTTACATTGTCAATATTTTTTAAAATTAATATAATTAAATCAATTAATGTAATTTTTTTTTTAAATATTTTGAACAAACGATATTATCTACATTAAAGGGGATATGTGAGTTTAGCCTTACAATGTGTTAAGCAATAATTTAAATTCATTATAGTTTAAATTAAATATTGTTGGGGTCTAAAAACGTCACGCAAGACTCAAGAGGATTGAAGCCCAGACATTCTATAAGATACATACTATTTCGTGCTAAATCCAATTTATATCATATGCTAAGGTCCACAAGGCTCTTAGAAAACTCTGATATTTGAAACTTCGGCTTACTTGGGAGTACCAAAGTCAATTCACTATAATTTAAATTAAATATTGTTGGGGTCCAAAAACATCACGCAAGGCTCAAGAGGATTGAAGCCCAGACATTCTATAAGATACATACTATTTCGTGCTAAATCCAATTTATATCATATGCTAAGGTCCACAAGGCTCATAGAAAACTCTTTGATATTTGAAACTTCGGCTTACTTGGGAGTACCAAAGTCTAAGCCCAACATAGAGTGATCCCATGCTAGGTAAGCAAATGAGATATTTCCTTGCACGTTATTTCAGTCGTGCACTGTCATTAGCCCAACTCCATAACAACTATCTTCCCAGAGTATTTCACTCTTTCCTTTCCCAAAGTATGTCACTCTTTCCTGACCAAAGTATTCCACCCTTTCCCTGCACCAAACTATTTCACCTTTTTAGCTCAATGGAAAAGTAAGCTGTGATGTCTAGACTTTTAGATCTGGATTTCCTTTTTGACATTGTAATTGTACCACATGCTCAATCTTGCTTTAGGCTATTCTTTGTTTATGGATTGTGTCTATTAGGGAGAAATATTCAAGGATGTGGCATATCTTACTTTAAAAGGTTTGTTCATGCATGTGCGTTTCACATCTATATTCCTGTTACATTTTGATTAGCTTAGTTGTCTAGTCAGTCTTGCGTGCGAATTTCTAGCAAGCTAGGCATGCAACTTAAAACCTGCCCACATGGGCTAATTGACAACTTTTTACTGAATGTCTGTTTTTCATAAATCTCATTCATACTCTAGCCAGAGATTCTTAATCATATCGTAGAGTATCTCCCTCAAACAATTTAAAGGTTAGAGATCCGTTGTTGTGCATTCGCTTGCCTCCATGGCTAAGTGGCTTAACCCCAACTATGCCTTGGACATCCTCTGATGGAGTGACTTTGACATAGCTAAAGATCAAATACCTAACCACAAGACAACTATGATGCCTCAGGTCAAATGACTACTTTGCATTATCCCAACCATGAGTGCTCATGTGACATGAGTATGAGAACTCCTTGTTGATCGTGTTTAGTGGACTCATTCTCCATTAAGCACCTACATACTTGTGTTGGTGTCAGTCACACCAATGACTTGAGACTAGTCACTCTCTCTAAGAGAAGGCATAGCACGTACTGATCTTAACGGACTGTCAATGCCCAATTGGCATCAGAATGTTTAGGATATGTATAAGAAAATAATGGTCTCATGAATCTAACTTCTTTAGATCACATTCTCCCAATTACATATTCCTGAAACTTATCGTTTAAGCATATAACATTTATATGAGATAGCTTAATCTTTGCCCTTTATATATATATATATATATATATATATATATATATATTAAACTAGATTAGTTTAACATGTAAAATGTCCATAAAGTATCATCATATGATTGGCTTTTAGGGCACATTTCCAACACTTTAGAGTATTTGGAAGTGTTTGCTATATTTTGAGAGATCAAGAACACCTAGCCAAGTTTGATACAAAGAGTGATGAAGGAATCTTTCTAGGGTACTCCAACACAAACCGAGCTTTAGAGTTTACAATCTTCACACAAATACCCTCATGGAATCTATAAATGTCAAAGTTGATGACTCCATTGTTCTTTCTACTCTCGATATTGAAAATGTTGATTTTTTTTTTCTTCTCCCTCAAAGGATAATGGTGATGCTTCTATTAAGTCAGGTGTGTTGTAAGAAAGTCAAAATAAGAGTGAATCAAGCACTGATCAAGATTCTCACATCCTGTTCAAGGATAAACCGAAATGGGCCAGAAGTCATTGGGATGAGGAAATAGTGGTCCTATTGACAAAGGTGTTAGAACTTGAAGACAAATTGTAGATGAAGCTGTCAATGTGTGCTATGTTTCTTAAATTAAGCCTAAAAATATCAAAGCTTTTTTAACTGATGAAGAATGGATATTGACCATACAAGAAGAGCTATATCAGTTTGAGAAGAATGAAGTTTGGTCCGTTGTTAACCGTCCATTGAACACTAATGTTATTGGCACCAAATGGATTTACAAGAACAAGTCTGATTAGTCCGAAAATGTGATTAGAAATAATGGTAGACTTGTTGCTCAAGGACACTCTCAACTTGAAGGTGTTGATTTTGATGAAACATTCGCTCATGTTGCTCATCTTGAATCTGGCAAACTTCTTTGCGTTATTGCATGCCATTTAAAGTGCAAACTATTTCAAATGGATGTCAAAATCGCCTTTCTTAATGGGTTTTCTTAATGAAGAAGTCTATGTGGAACAACCTAAAGGCTTTAAAGATCCTCACAATCCTAACGGTGTGTACAAACTGAGGAAGGCTCTTTATGGTCTTAAGCAAGCTCCTCATTTTTGGTATGAAGATTATCTTCTAGTCTTTTTTCTCATGGTTACACATGTGGCTCAGTTGATAAGACATTGCTTGTTAAGAAAGTGAAGACTCATGTTGTGATTACCTAAGTGTATGTAGATGATATTGTTGCTAGCTTCACTTCTGATTCTCTTGTGAAGCAGTTCATTAATATGATGACTAGTGAGTTTGAGATGAGCCTTGTATGCCAAGTCAAACAAGAAAATGATGGCATTTTTATTTCTCAAGCGAAGTATGCCAAGAATTTAGCGAAGAAATTTGGTTTTGAAGGATCAAAAGCTACTAGGTCACCAATGAGTACGAGTGCCAAAATTCATAAGGACTTGTGTGGCAAGGATGTTGACTAAATCTGTATAGAAACATGATTGGAAACCTACTCTTTTTAACTGCAAGCAGTCCTGATATTGCTTTTGTATAGGTTTATCAAATATATAAGTAGAACCACTAATTATGGGCTTCAATATACTCGTGACACCAACACAAATCTAATTGGATTCAGTAATGTTGATTAGGCTGTTACATTGTTGATTGAAAGAGTACCTTTCTATGTTGGAAACAATCCAATAGCTTAGCACAGCAAGAAGCAAAACTATGTCTCTTTATCTACTGCTGAAGTTGAATATGTTGTTGTTGGAAGCTGCTGCACTCAATTAATATGGATAAACCAAATGCTCACTGACTATGGTATTTCTCAATCCAACTTTCTTGTTTATTGTCACAATATGAGTGAAATTGACATTTCCACGAATCCTGTCCAACATTCTACCAAATATATAGACATTAGGCATCATTTCATTAGAGATTTTGTGGAAGGTAAAGTTATTACCTTAACCTTTGTCCCAATTGAAAAACAGCCAGCTGACATCTTCATTAAAGCCCTAGATAATTGAAGGTACGAAGATCTTCGACAATTTGTTAGTCTTTGTGCTATGAATTTATTAGGTTGTGTAGCCTTGCTTCCAAGAATTGATTTTTTTGTCCAATCTATGTTCATGTTTTTGTGTAGATAGCTATCTTATCAGATAATTTCATTTTGCTCTCTGTACGTATCTCTTAGCGGTCATACATTGTTAGTAATATGTGAATTAACCTTGGATAATTATACACTGTGATGTCAAAGTTTCTCCCTATTCTCTCAGATGGCCTTTGGAAAATCATTTTCTTACTCATCCAAATCTTGAAGTGATTTTGAATTTAATATTGATTTGATCCTTAGTGGTAGTGACTTTACTTGCTCTATAATCTGAAACAAGTGTTAATTCTCATCTTCTTTTTGTCCTCTCCCCAAATCAAAACAAATTTTCAAATGAGAGAGTGTTGTATGTGAGGGGTGTCTTCAAAAAGAAATTATATATCATCAAAATGGGAAAATCTCATCAATTTGGCTTTCCATGCAATGTCATATGTAGTGCTTCAAGGTCCCCCGCCACAGGTCATGAATCAAATTCTTTGAAAAATCAAAAGGTGTCTTATCAAAATTTCACCATCATTCCAATGACCTTGGCATTTATCAAATTGGTGCCCCCTTAAAGTTCTTCGTCAAATTTATCTTTTGTTCCAAGGCTTGTGTCTTTATTTTTGTGAGTCTTGTCCTTTGTTCATTTTATGTTGGAAGTGTTTTTTTTTTTTAAGTTAACAAATTATTAAAAGTTTGGTCAAAGTTTGAAAATACTTTTTGAGATTAAATGTTTGGTTCTATGTTTTCAAGATGCTGTCACCAATCATGTACCCTTACCTTGACACATCATTGTTGCATCATGAGCAAGTGTTCATCTCTACTTTACTATTTATGTAAGCCTTTGAAGAGTTGTCTTTTGACAATTGCATTTCATGCCTTCGTGTCAAGCACTTGTCTTATCAATATCTCTTGGAAGCATCGATATTCAAATTATTTTTCTTATCCCTTCTAATGCCTTGTGCTTTAGTTGTAATGTGTTGGTGCAATGATTACAAATGTTATCTTGATCTCTGTCTTTTTAATGAGATGTCTTCATTTGTCTAGCTACATTAGTCTATGCTTCTGCTCAAAACTGTTTGTCAAATGGACATCTTCCTTTTCTGTTGAGTCACCATCCTTCCTCAGAAAAGTGTAATCATAATCTAGGATTATGGGGAGTTTGTTTATATGAAAGCATCATTTCTAAGGGACTTCAATTTCATTGCATGCATCCTTTTTGGCAGAGTTGGTTCACTTTGGTTGGACAAACTCATATGATTTATTGATAATTCTTTATCTGCTATGCTTTTGATGTTCTTGCATTGTATACTTGCTTCCATTTTGGAAATTAAGTAAGATAATCCACCTTTTCTGTGTCTTACTATGACAAAATAGGGGAGAAAAATTTTAGTTGT